TGCCACTTCCAGCAGACGTCTTTTTGACTCAGAGCTTCCTGCAGGAAATCCCTTCCAGCATGCTATGAGATGGTTTTCAGGAGAGTTTAATAGATTTAGGGGCATTGCAGTTCTGCTAGAGGGCAAGACATCACAGCATGTTTAGGTCCCTGAGAAGAAAAGATGCATCTGGGGTGATTTTTTAAATGTATTTTAATAGCCTCCTATCTCATCTTGATTTCAAAAGGAATTAGAGGCCTAATCTCTGTAGACATATTATGCAGCCTTGTAAGAGCCCTAGCTTAGCTTTGCTTCTGCTTGCTAGTTAAAMCATTTTGCATGGCCCTAGGTTCACATTCAATTGCCTAGCATAACTCAGAGGGTGTTATTGTCCCACCTACCGTTCATACTGCACTATGTATTCCCCTCTCAATAGATGGCACTTGCTAATATCTATTTATTTATGTACAGACATGTCTTTTATAGGGGCCCTTTTTTGCTGCAGCTGCTGTTGTGAAAACCACTGTGTTCAATTCAATTCAGATTGACTGCTTTGGATGGAGGAAAATATTCAGAATTATTTGCTGCAACTTATCTCTTATTCAAATGTCTCTATAGTCCATTGCCCACCGAGTAAAGAGCATTTATAATAAATGTTAGATAACAAGCTTCTTCCTTGCTAACTAGAGCATTAAACTCATTGACAAATGTTGTCACGAGTTGGTTTGTGAGCAAATGAATGGAGTTCAGAGCTAAGGACAATAAATACTTGGTAGCTAGTGGTGCTGAGAAAACTTAGAGCCTCAGAGAAGACTTTTCAATCACCAAAAATACRAAGGACTCATCTGTTAAAAGCAATAAATAGCAGAAAAGGAATATCATTTTCCCCTGACCCCTACAAAAAATATATAGGTGATCAGAGACACTGAAAGAGGGTAAGTTTAAAACTAAGAAAAAAACCTGATCCTTATCTTCTGGAGGCTAACATATGGTCCTAGATTAACTAAATATATCTGTTTTGATTATTTATAAGGATCGCCTTCCACTTAGGGTGATATCCAGGCTGCTCATCGAGTCTGTTGGAATTAGCAGCAAGTATCTACTGCTTTGCAGATAGTCTTCGCATTTAAACATGCGTTCAGCATACCGTGGGATTGAGGGTGAAATAACCTGAAATGTCCGGCTTACTCCCCATTGCCTACATTCCCTCCCGCCAAGTGCTGTGTAATTTAAATTGTATTTTAAATTATAAGACCCCTGGGGCCAAGGAGCCTCCCACCGTATGTTTCTGCAGCGTATAATTCGTTGCTCTCTGCTCAGGCCTTGAGGTGCTGTTACATTTCCAAAGGACCCTAAATTGCCTTTCCTTTGCGGAGCACTTTGCCTCTGTGTTGTACACAATTCCTGCTATCCTGAACAGTCCTACAGCAGCATTTTACCTTGACCTGACACAGCTTCTTCATATGTTCCTGAACGCCAATGGGAATAGCCATCCTGGAGATCTTTATGGATGAACTTTCCTTTCCTGCTGGAGAAATAAAAAAAAAAAAAAAAACAGTAATTTTCCCAATCTTGTTTTGCAGAGACTAAAGCCTGTTGTCGATAACACTGAATTGAGTTACTAACAGAAATGTATTTAGAGTGCTTTGCTGGACAGGACTGCAGGGAATCGAGGCTTTATGAAATGTGTAAATAGGAATTGGTAAGAAATGCTGTATCCAGTTGCTCTTGCCCACRGATAATAGAAATGTGTTTCTCTGGCTGCTGGCAAATTACCTTGCTTGTCAGTTATACCGTGGAGTCTATGAGCGAGCACCATGTGCTCAGCACCTCTGTTCCTCTTGTGTGACACTCTGTGGGACCAGAGTCTCGTCCTGCAATGAGAGATACACGGGCAATGCTCATGCAAGAAGGGGTTTTGCAGTTAAGGACTAAGTGGGGCTCAGGAGCCTTGGCTGTGTTGGGTATGGGGCTGCAGCCTCCCTGGGACACAGGGCATAACAGGCTGCCCAGGGAGGCTGTGGAGGCTCCTGCTCTGGAGGAGGTCTTCCCAACCCACCTGGATGACACGTGCTCTGGATGTCCCTGCTGGAGCAGGAGGGTTGGACTGGATGATCTCTAGAGGTCCCTTCCAACCTCAACCATTGTGTGGTTCTGTGATTCTCTGTTCCCCGATCCTGCCCCCTTGCTGTGTCTTGGCCCTGCAAGCCCCTCTGCGTGGGCAGCTGCCCAGGCAGTGCTGCACCATCTGCACCATGGTGTTGCTTCTGGTGGACAGCACGTTATTTCCTTGTATTTGCAGGGCTGGCCGTATCTATTGTGTGTCTTATTTTATGTGGGGTCGTGGCTTAGAAGACACCTTTCACCTTTACCAGATGACAGGGGCAGCAGAGAGAACCACACACCAAGGGACAGAACGGTCGTGTTTGCTATTAATATCAAATACTACAGAAATGAAACGATAAATGAAACTGGGGAGCCCCTGTTGCAGGGAGGATTTGGAGAACCTTCTCGGCAACTGGGATGTCTTACATAAATGCATCCACCCCTAAGTGAGGTCTCCAGAGTCTCTGCAAGAGGATCCAGCTTTTGTAAAACCAAATCGGCAAACCTTGTCTTTTCTTTGTGAGCAGTAATATCTGGTATGACTTACTGTTCCTGTCATCCAGGACCAGGACTTGTCCAGAGCCTCGGCTTCGGATGGGAAGATTCCCTTCAGTGTCAAAAATACTTGCACGAGAGCCTGTAAAAATAGCAGTTTTTAATTGCCCTGCATTTAGTTACAGCAAACGGTCCCTTTGTCCTTTAAATGCAATAAATGAGTGTGAGCATGTGTTTAATGGCCTCCTTCATATTTTGCTTTTCACCAGCATTAGAGATTATTCTGCTCTTGGTAAGGACCTACATATTTTGTGGCTTACTTATCTGTTGGTCTGAAAGTCAAGATAAATGGTTTGGCATCATTTTTATTCTTGGGTGATTAATGTGATAGCTATTTCTAAACCATTAGTTCCCTGTACATGGCATTTTATCTTTGTTTAGGGAAAAAAAAAGATGCATGAAGTGCAGATGCGAACAACAGATTAACTTGATTTTTGGGGGGGGTTGTTTTGTTTTGTTGGCTTTTGGAGTTTATTTGTTTTGTAGTTGGGAGTGCTTCCAAAAGAAATGCCCTTGTTCATGCAGTGACAATCATATTCCAACTTAACGTTTGTAGGCCTTACTTCTGAGAGAAACTGTTTTACCTCCATCTCTCTTGGTTAATATCTTTAATAAAAAAAGTTGGGTTGTAAGGCCTCCTCACTCATCTAAGTTACATATATGATTTTATACCTGTATATGGCTTGGGTAGAGTGGGGCTTTCAGTTTTACCAGTTGCTGTTCCCCCTGAAGCCAGCAAAATTTCCAGACAGTTAGTGGGGAGCAAACTTTAATGATCAGTAAATATCCTCAGTAAATATCAGTAAAAATCAGTAAGTAAATATCCTCAGGTTAGAGCATCGTATATGGGAACGTTCTTCATRGGAGAGGTTTCTTGGTGGAAGATACTATAATACAGTCACTGTTTGCATTATGTGTACTCTATACTGTACTCTGAAGCTACAGGAATAAAGCGAGGAGAGGGTCCTTTGAATTGCCATGAGCGGGGAAAGATGCTCCATAGGGCAACATTGATGAGCTCCATGGTACAGATTTCCATCTGAGGCAATAGTGCTACTGGTAGGCAAGAAGCTCCAACTGTGATATCGCTAACAAAGGGTTAGATCTCAAGTGCTGTCTATTTAAAGCTTGTATGCATGCCCCACATTCCTGCTTGGTRGCTACAAGCTTCTGCCAGAGCCCAAAGAGACAGAGGTAACTCCAATCTTTGGTGGGAAATTAAACTTACAAAAGTAATTGCCTTGAGTGATGTTTGTGACAAGCCGGTGTCATGGTTTGGAAGAAATCAATGCGTTCTGGCTTCTGAACTAAAGGATTTTTTCCTTGATATTCTTCATGTACAAAATATGTTAAAAATACATTTTGGGGGGATCTGAACAAGTGGCCTAGTTTTCTGCAGCATTTATCCTCCAGCAGTAGGCAGTGAGATGGGAGCAGCTGGAGAGCTCAGTGTGCCACATAGGTGCCGACAAGTCAGGATTGCTGTTCCCCCAGGACAGATCTCCTGTCATGCCGGCTTTCCAGGGAGCCTCGTCTAGTTAATTCTGCGTGACCCCAGYATCGCTGCAAATCAGGACACAGATGTTCATAGTGAGGTTCATGGGTACAAAGGTGAAATGCTGATAGTCCTGTAAATATCCAAGTTTCTGTAGATTTTAGGCTTACAGCTCTCCTGCAAACCTTGGTGCCACTCACTGACTGCAGTACTTCACTGTGTCCTGCAGTCCATCCGTCATGTAGGACCTCGTGTATTAGTAATAAATGAGACAATTCTTCAGTCAACTAGAAAATAATTTTGCAAAATGCGTGCTAGTGAAAAAGCTGACCTAATAGCCATGAGAGATATGAAAGGCTGTGGTAGAATTAATGGATAAATTAATTCTATCATCTGTTAATCAATTACTCTTTGAAGTATGAAGTCTATGTCAAGTGGAGTATATGAAGTTTGTTTAAGTATATGAAGTATATGGCAAGTTCTTTTGATCTGTATGATCTGGATCAGCATTATTTCCAGGAAAAAGTTGTTATCTTTTTGTGCCTTTTGCTTGTTTTCCTTACATAAAGGGTGTTGCATTGTATCTGGCAAATGATATGAAAGTATTTCCTTTGGGAACTTTCTGGATCTTTCTTTCTCCATCTTTCTCCATCTCTCTCCRTCCTTAGTATAGACTGCAAGGACTGCAAGTATAGACTCAGGCATCCACACCTGATCATATTCCAGTACCTACTGTGGTGTATCACATCCTTATTCATAGATCAAAGAGTGAGTGAGAAAAAGAAACAAACATTTCTGAACATTGTTTTCTCATTTAATTAACTAATTTCTTTTTTTTTTTTCTTTTACTTTCTAGAAGCAGATTGGAAAGACTTATTCTCCTGAGTGGAGCAGGAAAGRAGGTGACAGACTCATGAAACCATATCTGTCTTGTGATGAAGAGGACACTTTAACRATCAGTGATAATGTGAAGCACTAAAAAGCCTGAAAAGCCCTTGACTATGTAAGAGGCAGGTGAGTAATGACGGGTCATCCACAGTGCTTAAGCCATAGTCTCTGGATAGACAGATAACTCACAATAAGAGAACCAACTAGAGATGCCTTTCTTTTTCTTCAATGGATAAACACATGTGTTGGTGCGGGACACAYTGTTGAACAGTCATAGAATAACAGCTTCATTATGGTTGGAAAAGACCTTCAAGATCGAGTCCAACCATGAACCCTTCAACACCCTGTCTGCTACACCATGTGCCTCATCTACACATTTCTTGAACACTGCCAGAGACAGTGACTCCACTACTTCCCTGGGCAGCCCACTGCAATGTTTAACTCCTCTTTCCATGTCGAAATTCTTCCTAATGTCTAACCTGAACCACATCTGCCCTATGCGCAAAGGCTGAGAGAGCTGGGCCTGTTCAGCCTGGAGAAGAGAAGTAGCCAGCTGCATTAACTCCATTCACCAGCACTGGCTGCGCCCAGACATCCAGCCAGTTCTTCACTGAGCAAAGAGTACGCCTGTCCAAGCCATGAGATGCCAGCTTCTCCAGGAGAAGGCGGTGGGACACTGTGTCAAAGACCTTACTGAGGTCCAAGCAGACCACATCCACACCTTTTCCCTCATCCACTAGTCTGGTCACCTGGTCATGGAAGGAAATCAAGTTGGTCAAACAGGACCTGCCTTTCATGAAGCCATGTTGGCTGGACCTGATTGTCACACATATGTTGTGTGATCACCTTCAAGATGATCCACTCCATTACCTTTTTTGATACTGAATTCAGGCTGGCAGGTCCGTAGTTCCTCAGATCTTCCATCCAACCCTTCTTGTAGATGGGCACCACATTGGCTAGTCCTCAGTTGTCTGGGACCTTCCCTGTTGACCAGGACTGCTGATAGATGATGGAGAGCAGATTGGCCAGCACTTCTGCCAGCTTCTTCAGAACCCTCAGGTAGATCCCATCCATCCCCGCCGACTTGTGAGCATCCAAGTATCTTGAGGCAAAGAAGGCATTAAGTACTTCCCTCAGCCTTATCCTCATCCTTGGTGAAAATATTCCCTGTCTCATCCCATAAAGGATGGAGATTCTCCTCGGCCCTCCTCCTCTTGTCAATGTGTTTGTAGAAGTATGTTTTTGTTGTCTTTTACAGTACTGGCCAGATAGAGTTCCATCCGAGCTTTTTCCTTTATAATTTCCTCCCTACCTTGCAACTTCCTTGTACTTTTCCTGAGTTACCTGCCCCTTCTTCCAAAGGTGGGAAACTCTTTTTTTGTTTCACAGAGGCTCRGCAATAGGTCCCTATTCAGCCAGCCTGGTCTTCTTCTCCTGTGACTTGTGTTTCATGGGGGCCAGTCTGCTCCTGTGCCCATAGGATTTTCCTTCTTGAGGAAAACCCGGACTTCATGGGCCCTTTTGCTCTCCAGATCTTGAAAGTGCACAATGCATGAATTTTAGCATCAATTGCCTGCATCTTCAGCACCCACTTTCTCCTCACTGATCTTCTGTAAAACCTGGAGACTCGCTTGCTCCAAGTGCTGCAGCAGACAAGCTGCAAAGATGCCATGAATGATGTTACAGGGCAGGTAGGAACAGAGTTAAACATAAAGCCAAGGTTTCTTGAATCTCCTCCAGTGTATCAAAAAGCAGCTCCCAACTGCATCTTGTGAGCAGTCTTTACTATAGTTTGCCACTTAGAATATTGACCACTCGATAAGTAGCAATGCCTGGTAGTTCAGAAAACCAACCACATGGATGGGTGGCAGTAGATGTTTGATGGGAAGAACTGAGGACCAATACTTAAGAGTGAAAAGTTTTCTGAAAATTGTTTAGAGACAAGCAAATCAGCAGAGTGGTATCAGGTTTACTAAGAAAGAAAATATTTGTACTGATCTAGCGGKCTCTTTCAGCCTCATCTGTTCTGTGTTTAATATTTGTTATTAAAGTTTTAATAGTTGTAATGATAACACTGGACAAGAATAGGTGATTTCAGCATCCCCAACTCCCTTTTGTACCTTTTTTGTACAGCTGTCTTTCATGAAGTACCTGTGCATGGGCACGTCAAGAACTTTTTGATTTCCTACTCTACTACCAGTTCTGTAGGACAGGAAAATGTGTTACTTGCTGTCTAGTGTATAGGAGAGAGGATAATTACAGTGAAGCCACACAAGCTTGTGTCAATGGAGCAGCTTCCATCTGTCCATACCATTTGTGTGTTTTAAATAGCATATTGTACATCTACTGCAGGTGTATTTGTCTCTAAGAGAGTGGGGTTTTTTTTTCTCCCTGAGAGAATGGCATAATAATTCCAGACAAAAGATGAGTCAGTGGATGTCTTCTCCTAGGCATGCTTTCTTTCTAAGATTACTTGGAAAACTGTGATCGTGCTCRTAGAGATCTGCTCCCACAAGCAATCTCATTGACTTCGAGGCTTGAGTTCTTCCAGCTATGACTGATACTCATTACCTTTGAGCTGGCATGGTTTCAACGTATTTTTTTTTTTTTTTATGAGGAGTGATTAAGAAATCTAGTTCCCAAAATAACTTCCTTTATCACTGATTTGCTTGTGTTTCGATGCGTGTGTGTGCATGTGCACACAAATGTCCAATTTTCAAGGTGCTGCTGTCCTTCTGGTCWGGTTTTGGGTATCAGGGGATCTAGAAAGCCGTAATTCATGTACCTGCTGTGAGTCAGCCTGCATGCAGAGCATCACRGTGGAGTGCTTGATCTTCTTTAGACTGAGCTAATTCCCTCATTATTCCCTCAACCCTCTGGTTGCAGCTGTTGCTCTTTGAATGCATCATTAACTATTCCCTGGGCCGGAGAAGGAGTGCCAGGCACATCACATAGTTTCTATTTTATGCCAACAAGAACAGTTGCAGAGAGTTTGCCTGAGAAAGGGCTGTGAACATAGATAAATTCTCTATCCACTTTGCAGTYCTGTTTGCTGCTTCGTGTCCTTTCAATATTTGAAATTCCTATTGGGCTCAGTTTCTGCTTGGGATTTTCCTTAGTGAAAATAGTATTAATGAAGCAGAAGTTGCTCCAAAATTTTTACTGTTCCTGAYTGAGACCTGTTTTTTGCAGAGATGGATGCATGGATATGAACCACATGGGAAAAACTAGATGGTGATGTGTCCTCAAGGGTCAATTCGGGACTGAAGTGAACAAGTGAATGTACATAAGCTTTTGGGGATGAAATACAGTAGACCTGTAGCATACACTTGTGATTCTGTATAATGTATACAGCAGGCTTGCCTGGATAGAGAAAGGACTGAGATTTTGTATAGGGAACACTGTATAGGTACACACTGATAACTGCATCTGGAGATGCACCACCATCTCCATGCCATGTTCTCCTGCTTTGGAGCAGGAAGATGGACCAAGACCTTCGGACTTGGTCTTTGGACCAAGAGATGCCCAGCCACTAGCCACGGAATGAAGGAGAGCTGGAGACATTCCTTGGTTCTTTACTGATGGCACAGCTAGTCACCATGCACTTTTACACCAGTCACCATGCACTTTTCAAGGAAATACAGTAATTCTTTGTGACCATCTGCAGTTGCTCTAAAATCTTGTCCACGTGAATTATTAAAATTGTGATGGTTTGTACTGCATTCTGAGGAAAATGCTTCACTACAGGAAAATGCAAGAATTCCTACGATTTGAGGAAAATGTAAGTCACRATGTGTGACTTGGTTGCAGTTCCAGTGTTTTGCCAGAACACAGATGCTCATAGGACTCTCCTGCAAATCAGAAACCTAAAAATATATAATATTTTTAGAAATGCGTATATTTGGTCAAAAAGAAGATGAAATACCTACTGAGCAATATTCTCTGTCTCAGTTTCAAAGACTGTGATTCAGTGTGAATGGCTTTCAAGCAGGCAAGCAAAATGAAAACAAAAGTCAGATTGCAAGAGATTTATGACTTCAGAAGTAATTACAAGGAGTTATACTAAGATAAAGCACCTAAAACGATGTAGCTGAGTTGTCTGAACAGATATCTATAACAAATCCTGTTGAAAGTAATTAAAGCCACCGAACATCTTGGACTCAAAAGTATCACACAAAGGAACATGAAAAGGCTCTTAAATCATGAATCCAGTTTTAAACCTGAAAGATTTCATAAAAACAACCCCAACGGAGAGGAGGTCAGAAGGATTAGGAATGAGTTGCTAACAGGGCACCAAATTTGTAACATAGGTGTGTGAATGTGTAGTCTGGGTCACTTTCATAGACACAGAATGAAGCTGTTTTAATTTCATCAGATCAGAAGCTCTTAACCAGAGCCCAAACTTCTAGTATTGCTAATGACTTTTGAAAGGCACAGCTTTTCCAGGTCAAATCCCAGTGTTAAACATAGACCTGAAAATTGCTATTGGAAATCTTTTTCCTGTTTTGTCTGCCATGTGCTCTTCCAGAGTGGATCCATAGTCACTCCAGACTGGAGCTGCAACAGGGAGGTGCTGGGCATCTTTTCCTAAACTCGGAGCTTGCATCTTTGAGGGAGGGCAGCTGCCAAAGATGACAAGAATCAGCTTCCCAGTGTTATTGCTGGTCCATAGACATCGTGGTACCTGGCAGCAAGGCCCTCTTGTGCCTCTCTTTTCTCATCAAGGTGGATGTATCTGCAATGGCTGAGCTTGTTGAACTATAATTATTAGTAGTAGGCATTAAGCATTATCTATTCATTATTATTATTTTCTCCTGAAAATCCAGGCACTCGGTGAGCTAGTATGGGTGTTGACTCAACTGGTTCATAGCTGATAGCAGTGAAATGCAGACTGTTTGAATAGCTTGGCCTTTAATCACTCACCATTCTTACGGGTGTAAAAAGCCTCACCGGAGCTGTCAAGCAGAATAAGGAACTGGAAAGTTTTAAGGAAGCATTATGGTAGGCAATGTTGGACTTCATGGTGCTATSATTTGAATTAAGGAATGATATGGACACTTAATTGTCTTTACTTGCACTGCTACCATAAAATCCCTGTTGATACACCCAAGTTGTGGCTGTTCCCA